TGTCAACAAGTCTGTCATTGACAAACTTAAAGACTTCTCTGCCTAATGTTTTATGGTTCTTGTCATATTCCCAGAAACAGAACTTTAGAACAAATTCACCTTTCTTGTTTACACTATGTAAGATTTTATGGTCGACAGATGTTTTGCTGTCGAAAAGCTTGTCTCGAATATAGATAGCGAAATCGCTAGACATTTTCAAAAAGATAAAATTTTTAATTTTTCTAAAAATATGTTAGAAAAAAAGTTTGCTGACATTGACAAAAAATTTGAGAATGTTTTAAACAAGAACAAGAGGAAGTTAGAAAATGCTCAGATAAAACCCATACATGACAAGTTCCTATTTGCTCAGAATGGTATAACAGGTCTAATCGCACCACCTGGGTCGGGTAAGACTTTCACTTATCTTAAAATGGCTGCACAACAACAAGAACTAGATGAGAAGAACCCATTCTATGAGTTAGTTGTCATTTGTAGTACTTCTGGTCAATTTGACCAAACCGTCAATTCGTTCAAAGATATTATAAAAAAGTCTAAGTTAGTATGTATAAAAGACTCTGAGTTGTTGGATTGGATAAAGAAGTACCAAAGAAGAGTTTTGAAGTACAATGCTATAAATGAGTATGTCAATTCTAAGTTTAAAGACCCAAATGAGGAAATGCAGAGAATATTAGAGAAGAAACACTTCAGAAACAAACAGAAAGAGATAGAATACATTTCGAAGAAATTGCAATCTTACGATTGGAAGACTTACCCTCATAGATGTCTTCTTATCTTAGATGACTTTGCTTCTCATCCTTTGTTAAAGAACAGAGAACAAGACATGTGTCGAATTCTCAAGAAGCTCAGACACTTTAACATTTCAGTTGTCATTTGTGTACAGACAGCAAAGAGTTTAAGTAAGGATGTAAAGAGAATACTTACTGACATTGTACTTTTCCCCGGATTGTCCGAAGACGATTTCATGGAACTTATGAAAGAGTCCATGGCAGGTAAGTTTGACAGATATGAACTATGGGAGAAGTACAAAGTCATACAAGACCCTCATACTTCTTTCAGAATTCATATCTACGCAAACAAAGTTCAAATTGTAAAAATTCAAGCTTGAAAAATGTAAGTGTTTAGTCTTAGTCTGTTGTGGTGCTGGGGCTGTCGGTTCTTCTGGCTTTGGAATGGACTCGGTTGGTGGTACGTCGGACATTCGTTTGTGTCCTGTCGGAAGGAAGAGTTCTTCCAGTTGTCAAGAAATTTTTTTCCTGTCGGAAGGAAAAACTTTTTCTGTCGGAAGGAAAAACTTTTTCTGAAGTTCGACCAAAAAGTTCTCAATTTTCGAAAATTTGAATGGTTTACGGACGAACAACAGGAAATTTTTTTCCAGTTGTCAGGAAATTTTTTTCCAGTTGTCAGGAAATTTTTTTCTTGTTGGAAGGAAGGACTTGGAATGTTGGAAGGAAGGACTCGGAATGCCAGAAGGATTTGACAAGACAATTTACCATCTAGAGCTACCTGAGCCATCTGAAGTCAAGACCAAAAATAAATGGTTCATTTACTCTGCTTGTTTGAAGTTGTCAAAATACTCTGTTATTTTTTCCTTTAACAATGGCAAATCTTCTTTGAAGGTAAGTATTGTACAACCTTTAATATCATAGTGTGTTTGAGGTAACGTATCTTGAACTATTTGTTTCACATCTTCATTTGGGGTCATTGAAATCGGTAAGTTTTCGCGATAGAACCAATTTCTGTCAGATTTGTAAATCTTAGCAAGGTCGTAAAAGCTTTTGTTGTTTCTTCTGACTAAATGCAACATAACCATATCTCTGTCTTCTTCATTTTCCATCTCTTCAGTGTAAATCATATACTTATAGTTCTTTTCCTTTCCTTTTGGTACCGAACGTGGTATTCTTTTCTGTATGTTTTTGTCTTTTGCTTCAAGCTTGTTTTCCATCTCTTCACGTTCTTGTCTATGAATTTCATCTAACATCATGAAATATAACAAGCATAGCGAGGTGAAGCCCACATTGCAACAGCATTTACAAGAAGTCTATGTACATACCAACCTCTCAAACCATTTGGCAAATTTGACGATTTTCGTACGGAAATCTCGACCCTCGGTTTTCCGAGGGTCGCAAACATATGAGGAAATTCTTCTAAAAGTTCTTTTGTCTGTTGGTTTTCAAACCAATGGTATGCTTGCTTTGTAGAACGAAGAGCATTCAAAATACTTTGCATTTGGTACATATCGTCTTTGACCGAACGAATGAGACGGAGTTGTTTGTTAAACTGTATGTACTCATATTCTTCATTTATAGCTTCATGGACTATAACTGTTGTTGTGTTCTCTGTTGTTGACATTACTGTCTTTACATACAAAATAAAAAAATAAATAAAAATAAAACTAACTTTATTTTTTTTAAGTTTGGTCATCCTTCACTATATGACAAATATACTATATTTTACTTAAAAATATGCAAGCGGCTCATAGCTCAGTGGTATGGGCTACCTCGCTACAGGCGTCGAAGACCTCGGTTCAAATCCCGATTCGCGCAGGTTTTTTCCTTTTATGCAGTGAAATTTCATGTACATAGGTTACTTTGGTGTTAGACCCTAGTGAAGAAAATAGAACGATATAAGTTTACATTTGTAAGGCTACTTTGGTGTTAGACCCTAGTGAAGAAAATAGAACTATATAAGTTTACATTTGTAAGGTTGGACGATAAAATTTACTGACTGACGTCGGACATTGTCTTGAAAAAGTAAAAAGACTTGTCTTGAAAAAGTAAAAGACTTGTCTTGAAAAAGTAAAAGACTTGTCTTGAAAAAGTAAAAGACTTGTCTTGAAAAAGTAAAAGACTTGTCTTGAAAAAAGTACGGGTATCGTCTGAAATCAAGACCACTGTTCTCAAATTTGAGAACTTGACACCAAAAAATTTCTTGAAAAAGTCAAAGACTTGTCTTGAAAAAGTAAAAGACTTGTCTTGAAAAAGTAAAAAGACTTGTCTTGAAAAAGTAAAAGACTTGTCTTGAAAAAGTAAAAGACTTGTCTTGAAAAAGTAAAAGACTTGTCTTGAAAAAGTAAAAGACTTGTCTTGAAAAAGTAAAAGACTTGTCTTGAAAAAGTAAAAGACTTGTCTTGAAAAAGTAAAAGACTTGTCTTTGAAAAAGTAAAAGACTTGTCTTGAAAAAGTAAAAGACTTGTCTTGAAAAAGTAAAAGACTTGTCTTGAAAAAGTAAAAGACTTGTCTTGAAAAAGTAAAAGACTTGTCTTGAAAAAGTAAAAGACTTGTCTTGAAAAAGTAAAGACTTGTCTTGAAAAAAGTAAAAGACTTGTCTTGAAAAAGTAAAAGACTTGTCTTGAAAAAGTAAAAGACTTGTCTTGAAAAAGTAAAAGACTTGTCTTGAAAAAGTAAAAGACTTGTCTTGAAAAAGTAAAGACTTGTCTTGAAAAAGTAAAAGACTTGTCTTGAAAAAGTAAAAGACTTGTCTTGAAAAAGTAAAAGACTTGTCTTGAAACAATGACCGACATAGACCCAGCAGATGAGGCAATCTACCTTATAGAGATAAATGAGCTAGTTAGGAACTACCTGAGCCATCTGAAGTCAAGCGAAAAATAAACGCTTTACATGTATTTTTCAGCAACTTCGTCAAATAATTTTATAGCACTATCTATCTCATCTACTTCAAACGTTTCTTACCTTTCGTGGGAGCACCATACATTTTCTCAAAAACTTCAAGCAGTTCTTTTCAGCAGCTCTCATATCATTTACAAACACAACCTTAACTCTATTGACTGTACTGTCATATCTTTTAGTTATATTAAATGTTCTTCCTATCTTATATCTCTTTGTATTGAAGTCCTTCGGTTTCTGAACGATATAAAGTAAGCCTTCACTGCAACGTTCAGTATCGAATGAACCATATGTTATGAAATTATATCCAACAACTGGGTCAATCCAGAACAAAACTAGTGGTATAAGACTTTTGTCTATAAGATATGCTGTAGTTCCATGAAATCTTACCGATATCAAAAGCTCAGGATTTCTTGTCAAAATTTTCTGACTAGAAGCATTTCTAACCCAGTCCTTTGCTCTCTTTCCAGATGGTGTTAAAATGTCTGACAAAGAATATTTTTTGTATTTCTTTGAGTATCTTACGTTTAAATCACCAATTCTAACCATTTTGGTGTCATTGTCTATCTTTCTAACTGTTTCAAACTCAGTGTTTGACATTTCCTGTTCTTACATACAAAATAAAAAAAAATATTTTAAAAAAACTAGCTTTTATTTTCTATCTTAAGGAAATTCATGAAATTTGGTCATTTTTCAGCAAAAATATATTTTAGGGTAGAAGGGTAGATATAACCTGTTTTCTACCCTCATTTCTACCCCATATGTCCTTACTGAAAAAAGTATGTGTTCCATATGCCATTTTACTCAGAATTTTGTTGCTGAATTCAATAAAAATATATTTTAGGGTAGAAGGGTAGATATAACCTGTTTTCTACCCTCATTTCTACCCCAGTTATTTTATAAGCGTTTTACATGGTAAACATTGTGAATTCGTGAAATTCTAAACAATTTCGTAGCTTCAATTTCTTCTTTTAGTACATCGAATGTTTTAACGATACCGAAGGTTTCTTTATATTTCTTCTTGACGTCAGATAGAAGGAAATCTTCTGCTGTTGGATAGTTTTGTTCAGAAATTCTAACATATCCATTTTATCTTCTGCTGGCTTTTCTGCTTCTTTCTTTAAGTCTGCATAGTCGTTTCGCATTCTTTCTATCTCTTTGACGGAGTAGTTATATTTCCTAATTGCTGCTTTACATTTAGAACATTGCGGGTTCATTTTTGCGTTATATTCTGAAACCTTACCTGCTAAAACAACTAAGGCGTCAATGGTTTTCTTTAACTCAAACATAGCGGGTCTTATTTGTTCATTCCATACCTTACCTCTTCTATCTTTATCTCTTATTTCCCAAACACATTTTGCAACTAACGAAACAAAGTTGTCGTAGGTCTTAAACTCCCCAGATTTGTATATGTCAGAGATGTTCTTATATACCATATCGCAATCTTTGTCCATGACTTTGTGGTTGCAATGAAATCCAAGAAACTCATAGTTTACCTTACGTATGAACTTCTTTATTTCTACTGAGTCAGTTGCTTTGACTTCTATTTCATCGAATTCTGGAATAGTAAGCTTTTGTTGTTGGATTTCAGGAAGTTTAGGTAAATGGTCAATAATATCCTGCATTTCATAAAGATACTGTTCATTTGTTTCATCTTTTGCACTACAGTCTAAATCTCCTTGGAGAAGTTCTTGCTTTATCTTCTGGATTTCTGTTTCGAAAGTATATGAAGAAGGAATGAAGCTTTTCATCTCTACTAACATTGAAGTTGGGTTCATGACTAAAGAGTTTGGTGCTGTTGTTGCTAACATGTTCTTACAATAAAAATAAAAAAATATTTTTTTAAAAAAACTAACTTTATTTTTTATTTCGGGAAAATTCATGAGGTTAGAAAACATGTACGAAGAAGTCTTGACAAAACATTTACGATGAAATCATGACAAAACATTTATGAAGAAGTCTTGACAAAACATTTACGAAGAAGTCATGAAAATTCAAGAGGGTAGAAAAGAGGGTAGAAGACAGGTTAGATCTAACCTTCTACCCTAAAATATATTTTTGGGTCATTTACTCACAATATTTTTGTACAAAACGACCCCAAACTTTTAACTTCTTTTCTGCAGCTTCTAATGTTATCTTAGCGAGTTCATATTCTCTAAATTCTCTTTAAATCTTCTTGTTCCCATTGGTCTAGTTCGTATGGCGAGTCTCTATAACCAGAACATATCTCACGTTCATGTTCTATTTGTTTTTCATGCATTTTTCTAACTTCTTCTTCAAACAAAGGTTTTGCATTCTCTACTGTATCTTCAAGTTCTTCTTCATCTAACTTCTCATGAACTTTCTTGTCTATGGAGTCCATAATTTTTCCAACTGCTATACAATATTTTGGAGAAGCCCACATTGCTATATAGTTTACAAGTCTTGGGTCTACATACATTCCTCTAACCTGTTTGATTTCATCCGGAATTCCTGCTTGAAGTTTGTATAAAAAGCAACCCGCCGTTTTCCGCGGGTTGGTATATTCTTCACAAAATGCCTTAAAATACTCTTCCCAGGACTTATTTTCCAACAACCTTCTAAAGTCTTTCCCAAACTGCTGACATATCTTTGTTACATTTATATAACCATCCTTGTCTCTACGTAAGACTTCAATACCGTTGTAAGTGCCTTTTGTGAATGTTTCGCCATTAGATTTGTTCGTGAACGTTTTTGCTTCGACTGTCATTTTCAGTTCTTACAATAAAAATAAAAAATATTTTTAAGTGGCTTAACCGTCGGACATCCGTTTGTGGCTTAACCGTCGGACATTCGTTTGTGGCTTAACCGTCGGACATTCGTTTGTGGCTTAACCTCAAAACAAGCATTTTGTGAAGAATATACCAACCCGCGGAATTCCGCGGGTTGCTTTTTTTATACAAAATTCAAGAGTTTTGCGTGTTTTCTACGATGTTGTCAAAATGTCGTGTTGTCACACTTTTTAAAAGAAGTTAAAATGACCGAGGCACATAGGCACATAGGCACACCTAAAAAACATCTAACCAAAACTCATTTTTCAATACTTTTTCAGCACTTTTCCGTAGTTGTATATGAAAGACAATTCGAGATAAAAGTCATAGTACAGTGGAATAATATGCTGCACACCGTTTGTTGTGAACCAAACTTGAAAGTCAGAGAAACTGTTACTAGGTGGTTCGTAGAATTTAGAAGCAAAGTCATAAAAGTCCTTACCGATACATAGAAAACTGTTGTTGCTTGAACTGAAACTTGCATGACACATGACATTTTGAGGGTCAAACACATTTCTATAAACTGTCAAATCTGTTGGTGGGCGTATAAATTTAAACGGACCGTCAGGTGGTAATGGTTCGTTCTGGTTTAGTAACCGAAGAAATTGTGCCCAAGAACGTTTGTCTACTCCCCAATATAAAAACTCTGTATCTCTTGGAGGGTTAATTTCAATCTTTTGAAATGAAACTGTGGAGTTCATCTTGTTATATTCTAGTTTCAGATAGTATGTTCCATTTAGTAAAGAGTGGTATTTTTCTTGAAATTCCCAGTAGTATTTGTTTATTTGAGTTTGGAAGTCATTTAGAGTTTTCTCAAGACTTTCGTCTGAACGAATTGTAAAGATTTTCATTTCGTCAAATTTTTCTATTAGACCATCAGAACCTTTATACTGACCATGAAAATATACTGCGAACATGAAGGCGTTCGTTCTATTTGAAAACAAAACTCTTCTAAATCCTATTGCCTTTGCATCTGAAGGACTTTGAAGCCAACGAATTGGATAGTCGAACCTGTAAGCTCCGGATGAAATTTCTTCATCTGATATAGTCCTACCGGCATTTGTGAAGATATAGTCTAACGGTTTTGTATCTGCTACTTTTGTTCTTTGTTTTTCAACCTGAAACATTTAATATATGTAAAAATATACTGTTTTAAAAAATGTTTTAAAATGGTATGCCATTTCATATTTCTCATCTAACAAACATGTTGTCTGACTGCTTGAGGGTTATGTTGGTACCATTCGAACTTCACGCTTACAATTCCTTCAATTGCATTCAAAATGTCTGAGTCGGAGTCAACCATTTGTTCTCTCTTTGTAGTCTTGAAAGCGTCAAGAAGCATTGCAGCTGTTGTGACATTGCCATGTGCATAGTAAATATGACCATCTAAATCTGTTACGGTTAGTCTGAGATTGTATCCTTTCTTATTTCCATCTTGTATGGCAGCAAGTACACCCATGAAGCCTTCTTTGTTCTTTCCTTCTTCAAAATTTACTGTAAAGGTTCGACCAGATGTAATTTTACTTCTAACCTCACGATACTTTTCATATGCATATCTTGTTCTTTCCATGGGAGCATGTGCGTCTTCACCTTTTCCTTTTTTCCTTCTCAAAGGATGCAATTGTTCGTCATGTTTCCAGTAGAATCTGGCAAAGCCGTCGTGTCCTTCAACTTGAGGCTCACTAACATTGAAAGGCAAGTTCATAAGACGTTCTTCTTCTAACCTCTCTAGTCTGTTTGGATAATTGGCGCGTGCTGTTTCAAGGTCCATTTCGTAGGTCAGACCAGCCAGTTTGTCATAGACTTTTATGGGTCTTCCCTTCCTATATTTAAACTTCTTTGAAACTTTCCAACCATATCTTTCTAACTCTGCTTTTATTCTAGCAGATTTTCTATCCATTCTATATGGGGGCATTTTTATAAAAATAAAAAAATGTTTTTACTTTACTTAACATAGCCACCAGCTACCAAAAGTCTTTGACGCCAACCCATACCAGCTAATGAAGGTTGACTTGGTTTAGTTTGGAAACTAAACTTTGGTTTTGGTTTATCTTCAGTTTTTGGTTTTTCTTCTTCTATCGGTTTTTCGTCACTTTTCGGTTCATCTGACTTTACCTCACTTGCAGGTATGGTTGTGTCGTCAACATCTTCATAAATATCATATGCCATTTGTTTTTGTTTTCCTTTCAACTTTTTGTGTTTGTTGTAAAGTTTAGAATATTTTGACTCTAAGTCAATGAGATGTTCTATAATGAACTGTTGGTCAGTGAAGAATACCTTCCCATCTGTTGTCTCGAAAGCTCCTTCAGACTTCAATATTTTATTTGTGAGAGTCTGTTTCTTTTTTGAGATACTAGCCGTTCCATTTCTATGAAAAGTGACTTTATAGTTAGGGTTTGTATTTCCAGACCTGGCACTTTCTATTATTGAATTTTTCTCTTCATCTGTAAGTTCTTTGACAGGTTTTGACAATGGTTCTGAACTTTTTGTTTGTGGTGTCAAATCTACCGTTTCAACTTCTTCGGTCATTTCATCTCAGTAAAAAATTTTAGTTTGTTTTGTTTTCAACTGGTTGTTTAGGTTTTTTAAGTCGGTCTAAAACTTCCTGAGGTATAGGAGGACTTGACAAACACGTGGTTGTGTAACTGCTGGAAGTCGACAAATCCATCTTGAACCCATTTGTCTCAATGCTGTATTGTTCATTTCATCTCAGTAAAAAAATTTACATTCCCCACGTTTGAGGTGGTTGCGGTTGGTTGTTGTTTACCCATTGTTGTGCATGGTTATATCCTCTGTTAAAGAATCTTTCACCTTGGTCCATATAGTGCCCTGCTTGGTTATAGTAGTCATTTGCTTTGTTATAGTAGTTTCCTGCTTGTCTTCCTACATTGTCCATCCATCCTTGAACTTTTCCTCTTGTTTCAGGATTTGGAATAAGATTTGCTGCATCTCGTGCTACCTCCCAACCTTTCTGTACAGTTTGTATAATAGGTTGTGCTTTCTCTTTAAGTATACCTAATGTACTCAAAATCTTCCTTCCAATTCCAAATGCACCTCTAGCTATTGTTCCCACTGCGGGTAAAAATCTGGATGCAACTCCTGCTAATGCGCCAAATAAACCCATTTCTTATGGGTTAAAAATGACGAATTCAAACAAGGACCCCTATGTTTCCAAGGCAACAAAGAAAGCACTCATGGTAAAAATCTTTAGTTCAACACCAAATGCTTGGTTTATGGATATCTTGGAAAACATTCCGAGAGTTAGAACAGATGGACCACCATACTGGCTAATATTTGTTGGTCAAAACACAAGATACTGTGAAGCCATACCATTATGGTCCAAAATATTTTAGATGTGAAAACTGCTTTGACAATATTCGTTGACAAATACCATCCAACAAAACTGACATCTGACTATGAAAGTTCTTTCAAATCAGACGATATTAAAAACTATCTGCGTTCAAAAAATGTAAACCAATATTTCATTGTCGACCAAAACCATTCTGCTCTTGGTGTCATTGACGGTTGTATAAAAATGTTAAGAGACTTAAACCAACCACAAGGTGGTGAGGTAGATGAAATGTCATATGACGACAAGTATAGACACTTCTCCATGGCAAAGATGAGACAAGTTTTAAATATTTACAATAGCCGTAAACAAAAAGGTTTGGGAAACCACTCCCCCGAAGAAATGAAAAACAACCCTGACTTAGAGAAAGACTATATATTTAATAGTTTAGTCAAAAGAGACAAACAAGAAAGAATGCCGGGCTTCAAACTTCAGAAAGGCGACAAAGTAAAAATAGAAATACCTAAACGCGACCCATATGAAAATACTATTGACTATGACAACAATGGGAACTCGACAGGTACTCACATTCGTGTTCGTAAAAATAGAAGAAAGTATACAAGAGAATATTATGAAGTTTTAGGCAAACATGGCAAAATGTACAGACTGCAAGCAGAAGATAAAACTACTATTGTCAGACCTCGTTTCAAACTTGTCAAAGTTCAAGGTGGTATACTTTCAAAAACAGTTCCTAACAAATATAAGACAACTCCTGACGAATATGCTAAAGAAGTTGAAAATGACGACTAAGCATTTCTATACCATGCGTAAACTGTCATGTAAGGTGGCATGTAGTCTTTACTTTGTCCCGTTGTTTGCGTATATCCTGAAACGTTATGTGTATGGTTTCCATCTCCCTGAGTGTCACTCCAGTAACAATTTATAGCAAACTTAACGTTGTCTTTAACATCATATCCTTTACCTTTTGTCATTCCTGACCAATCCCAATATCTATGCTTATGCCAACCTGCTTGAGATGTACTTAAATCTATGTAGTGACTGTGTGCAGGTAAATTTTCACCTGAAATCGTTTTACTTCCACCTGTTTCCTTTGAAGAGTTTGCACAATACAAAAACCTGTCGACTATTTGAGTCCAAGTTCCAAAACCAAGTACTACTTCTGGTCTGGTAGAGTTCATTGACGTATAAATAGAACCTATAGGATATACTGTTTGAAGTATTTCTGTCTTTAATGTTTGAAGCTCTGTTTTGTCTGCTTTTTTATATAACTTTTCTTCAAGTTCATTTACGTCAGAGATGCTATGTCTATGATATTTTTGTGGGTATGTTCCTTCTGTCCATGCGAAAATACGTTCTTTTGTTGCATCTACATATCCTTTTATCCATGTCGAGTCTGCTTTTGTATTCCTTAACTCTGTAACACCTTTCTCAAGCTCTTTCAACTGTTGTCCATCTTCCATTAAACCTCTGGTATGACTTGAAACCGTTTGTGTCAACATATCTACAGTTTCTTTGTCGGCTTTAAGGTCTAAACACCCTGAAACCCATCCTGTATCGGCTTTAGTTTTTAAAATCTTTGAAGTCCGTTCATGGTACCATTCAACCCTTTCTTTAATTTCATTGTCTTTTTCATCCACATATTCCTTATCTGCCTTCTTATCTAATGCACTAGCCACACATGCTAACTCATCGTTAACATATGTTTTATCTGCTTTCTTTTCAACATCCTCTTTCGTTGCATATGTTGCATCTGCTCTGTCATGTTCTTCTTGAACTTTTTCAATGACATACTCTTTGTCAGCTTTGTTGTCAACATCTGCTTTCAAAAGAAGTTCTTTTATAGGCTTCTCGTTTAAAGTTCCTTTTGTTGGATTTACACAGACAGTATGGTTCTTACTGTCTTGAAACAGAAACTCATCTGTCATTGGGTTTATCGTCAGTTTTAAGTTTCCTTCTTTCAATGACTCAGATATCTTAGAATAGTTTGAAAAGTTTGTTGTGTTCTTATTTAGAGCTTGCAAAATGAGTTGTCGGTTGTGTTGTATTTCTCTCATAGACGCTGTTTCTTTCGACATTTTTATTCTAGATAAAATATGCTTTCAATAGAAAAAGAAAATTCAAGAGTTGCTACAACTAAACCATTAGATGAACTTTTTACGAATGTCGGTCAAAAGTTTGAGACAGAGACCGTAAAGCATGAAGGCTATCGTTTTGACTACCCATTGAGATGGTTAAGAGACCCATCCGTCACAAAAGCTATTGGCTTTCGTAGAATGAAGTTCATTTCAGAAGCCATACATGGTTTCCCATTTACGGTCGCTTTTGAAATTCGATACTATAACAAAGAAAAACATACGTATGAGAAATTTGAACAGGGAAAACTTTTACAAGTTAGTTTGCTTGTAAACTTAGAAACAACTCTTCAAGCTTTTCAAGAAAAAATAAACGATATCTATCTCGAATATGCAAAACAGTACAACATTGACGAAGGAGAGTACCATCTCGATATTTTTATATGACAGGAAAAATGCAACTGTTAAAATCAATAGAATAGAAGACCTTGGAGAAGACGTTTATATTTCTACAAAATATAACAACTTGGCATGGTATAGATTTTTGAGGATGTTAAATCAGCCTGCAGAATATCCAGTACACCGGACTTTTATGAAGTCGAAAACCCTAATGGAACATATGAAAATGTTTTCGACTCAGATGCTATTATAGTTCATGCTTCATTTTCTGGTGCACAAAACTCTTTTTTATGCTTGGCAAATGACTTTTACGAAAAACCTACAAAGCTATATGAACCACCGAGTGGAAGTATTTCAGACTTTCAAGTATGGTTTACTACAGATGGAAGAAAGAGAATAGTTCCATTATACCATGCGTTTTACTTAGAACTTAGTTTCATATACAACTACTATCGAACGGTAAAAATATAATTTTAATATGGTTGAGGTGTTGGATTTGGTTGCCAACTAGACTGTGGTGCAGGTTCAGGCTGTTGTATAACAGGAGCTTGTTCTTCTGGTTCAGGGTCTTTAGGTATAATACCAACAAACTGACCTACTCTTTTACCAATATTTTTGACACCGTTCCAAATTCCTCTTCCGACAGATTTTATTCCATTCCATATACCTCTTCCAACTCTTCTGAAGAAGTTTCCAATACTACTGAAGAAACCCATTTTACTATATGTAAAAATCTAATGTCCACCTAGTCTCTTACGTTTCCTGTTGAGTTCCATAGCATTCTTTAACTGGAGCTCATACATTCTGTTTCTCCTCTGGTAGAAAACATACTCTGGGTCAACTCCTGTGTTCGCGTCATCTGCATAGAGTTGTTTATATCCCACTTCAGGGTTTGTATAAAACTCTTTCCATCTCATATTTGCATACCATGGTGGCAAACCTAACGCAGCGTCATTTGACATGGCAGTTTGCATTTGTACATCTGTTGGCACTTGACATAGTTTGCCATTGCAGTTTGTATTCTAACTTCATTTGGAATATTCTCTGGGTTTGGTTGTCCAGGTTGCTGTGCATTCGCTAAGTTCTGTGCGTCCATTTAATATTAGATAAAAATATCTCTTACGAGTACATATACTGAACATTTGCAGGCATTGGTTCATCTTCATATTCTCTGTACTTTTCTGCCACGTCAAATAAATAAATGACACAATGGAAAAAACCTAAAACAAGTAGTCCTATTTCAAACCACATTTACTTACTAATAAAATTTCTTTATTGTGACACTTTCTCCAGTTTATGGACCTCTCTCATATTCTATCTTGTCATATATAAACTCATAGTCATGTATGTCCTCTAACCATCTCATAACGGTTTCCAAACCACTTTTATCGGATGTAAAGTAAAAGCATGGACAGTTATGTAAAACGTCTAAAGTTCTAAAGAGTCTCTCAAAGTCCAGTCTACTTGGTATTGAAAATCCATGTGTTATAGAACGGCGGGTCCACTATAAAGAAACATTTCCTTGTCTTTATATTTTTCATACAAATCTGTCAATGACATTCACAAACTCTATACCCTCAATATATTTTTCTATGTCCTCTTTTGAAAACATTTGTATAGTTAAGATATAAAACTTTTGACATAAGTGTTTCAATGTCATGAACTCTTATAGCACCACTATATAATAGTCTAGCAGAATATACTATCCCAGTCTATATATTCTGCTTTTTTCAAAACCTCTCTCACAATATTTTTCTTATCTAATGGTATACGTTCCATCTTACCTATCTGAATCTTTTCTTTTAACTCACTCAATATTTTGTTTGTGTCTGGAATATGTTTGAGACGGTCCATATAGTTGTCGAAGTCATTGCATATAATCTTTGAGTCTGGGAATATTATATGGCACAAATGGGATATATAGAAACTTCCACCGAACAAATCTACAAATGTTAGACCATTCGGTAGTTTCTTAAGTTCTCTCAATATAATATCTTTACATCTACTCTTATTTCCAAAGAACGGTAACGGTGGTTTTGTAAAATTCATTTATATATAATAATAAAATGTTTTTCCCTGAAAAGTGACAGAAAAGTGACAAAACATGAAAACATATATAATTTGTGAAAAGCGACACATTATAATAATGTTTTCGACCCAGAAGAAGGCTTCTTCCAGAAGCAATGGAGGAAGAAGAAGAGTCCTCCGAATAAAAACTTCATTTATACTAAACATCAACATCAGGGCTAGAAGGCACGAAGTGCCTGGAAGCCCCACTGCCTTTTTTTTTTTTTTTTTTTTTCGCCAGTATCTCAAATTTAGATCAATGAATTTTTTTTAATGCAGTTACTCACAATTTGTTTAGATATATTTAAGAACTGATAGAATTATATATATATAAAAAAAAAAAAAAAAAAAAAAAAAAAAAAGGTAGTGGGGCTTCCAGGCACTTCGTGCCTTCTAGCCCTGAGGATGTTTTGTCAAGACTTCTTCATCGTAAATGTTTTGTCAAGACTTCTTCGTAAATGTTTTGTCAAGACTTCTTCGTAAATGTTTTGTCAAGACTTCTTCATCGTAAATGTTTTGTCAAGACTTCTTCATCGTAAATGTTTTGTCAAGACTTCTTCGTAAAGACTTTGTCAAGACTTCTTCATCGTAAATGTTTTGTCAAGACTTCTTCGTAAAATCAGACAAAAATAATGTTTATGTTAGAATGTTAGATCTAACACGTTTTCTAACATGTTTTCTAACATCGTAGAAAACTCATGATTTCATGTAAATGTTTTGTCAAGACTTCTTCGTAAATGTTTTGTCAAGACTTCTTCGTAAATGTTTTGTCAAGACTTCTTCGTAAAATCAGACAAAAATAATGTTTATGTTAGAATGTTAGATCTAACACGTTTTCTAACATGTTTTCTAACATCGTAGAAAACTCATGATTTCATCGTAAATGTTTTGTCAAGACTTCTTCGTAAAATCAGACAAAAATAATGTTTATGTTAGAATGTTAGATCTAACACGTTTTCTAACATGTTTTCTAACATCGTAGAAAACTCATGATTTCATCGTAAATGTTTTGTCAAGACTTCTTCATCGTAAATGTTTTGTCAAGACTTCTTCATCGTAAATGTTTTGTCAAGACTTCTTCGTAAAATCAGACAAAAATAATGTTTATGTTAGAATGTTAGATCTAACACGTTTTCTAACACCTCTTTTCTAACCTCATGAATTTTCATGAACTTTCTTTACAAAGTCTTTACGATGAAGAACTTTACAAAGTCTCAACAAAACATTGACAAGAAAGTTCATGAGAAAGACTTTACAAAGTCTTTACGATGAAGAACTTTACGAAGAAATCTCAACAAAGTCTTTACGAGAAGTCTTGACAAAAATTTACGATGAATCATGAGTTTTCTACGATGTTAGAAAACATGTTAGAAAAACATGTTAGATCTAACATTCTAACATAAACATTATTTTTATTGAATTCCGTATGAAATTTCATGAGTTTGTATGTTTTAGACCATGTTAGAAAACATGTTAGAAAAGAGGTTAGATCTAACATTCTAACATAAACATTATTTTTATTGAATTCCGTATGAAATTTCATGAATTTGTATGTTTTAGACCATGTTAGAAAACATGTTAGAAACATGTTAGATCTAACATTCTAACATAAACATTATTTTTGGGTCATTTACACTCATTACGATGAAGAAGTCACAATAAAGTCTTTATGAAGAAGTCTTAACAAAGTCTTTACGAAGAAGTCTTGACAAAACATTTATGAAGAAATCTCAACAAAGTCTTTACGAAGAAGTCACAACAAAACATCTGTCAAAAACCGCTTTTTAACTTCACTTAAAATGCCACGTAAGCTACGTAAGAATATACGTAAGAGGAAGAGAGCATTGAAACATCCAATAGTAAGACTGACACCACAACAACAGTTGCAACAACAAATGCTGAATGACCCCACTATGTTGCAACAAATGTCAAGCAATCCTATGCTTTTAAACCGAGTTGTTGGTGCACAGAGTGGAGGTTAAGAGCGGCACTTTTAGCGAAAATGGCAGGCTATGGTGGAGCTGCAGACGGAACAGCATATAACCCTCAAAGTCAAATGAATTTGAGTTCAGGTTTGTTTGAACTGTAAAAGTTTTCTGACTTTAATTTGCTTCAACTTCTTTTTTTATAACTCATCTCTATCCTATATGTCTTCAGGTTTTGTTTTATCTCTTATCTTCTCAATATTTTATATGAGTTAGTAATGGTTTTGTTCAAAATTTATGACATCTTTGTTCCACTTTGCTACTTCTGTGGCTTTTTCTGACAACTTTTTTCGCATACTCCTCGTATTAGTTCTTTCAGTTGTTCTTCTTTCTCTTTATTCTCTCCGTTAACTCAGTTGAGTTTCTTTGTGTGTCTGTCATAATTCTTAGTTTCTTTTTCGTTTTCACTTATCTTGCTTCTGTATGCTATGTTTAACTTTTGACTATCTGTTATTGATTTTG